CACTGGGTGAGCAGGTACATGGTTCCTTCTGAATGTACACTGAATGAATATAAGTAATGAAATTCTACCCAGCAAAAAACTGTGACTTGAGGGAGGCAGAGAAAGAGAGCCCTTAACTATGTTAGCATCAGCTGTATAGTTAGGACTCTTGCCCAAGAAATAGGAGCTACATGTTCTGGGTCCCCCTTTCCACAGAATAGGTTTGAACCTGCATCTGTCCGAGTTTCTGGTGCAGTGCTCTAGACAACAAATTAGGTCTTATACAGTCTCAGCCCTCCTTTTGAGGTGCCATCCTGGATAGCACAATAGGGATTTGTGTGTGTATGATATGTTCAGTGGCTATGTGGATGCCTGTGTCCCCATTGCATGGGAAAAGAAATGCAAACTATGTCTAAGTGCCAAACATGGCAGTTGCGTGTCTTGAAAGCTGCTATTTGGGCATGTAAAAAGAAATGGGATTCTGTTCTGTGAGTGATTAATTCATTCCTTGCTCCAGTTTAAACCAAAGTAATTGCATCTGTTCATTGAAAGTTATATCAGCATAAAGCTTGAGTAACAGTGATAAATCAAGCATTGCATATGCATCACAAGACACTGCATGTTACAAATTCTGTAAGTGTTCTCTACACTTCACAAGGCAGTTACAATAAATCGGTTTTCTTCAGAAATGTGCAGTTTATCTTCCTAATATTGTAGTTTTGAGCAAAAGAAAACTTTGCAGATTCAAAAATAGAAAATATGACTAGCAACAATTTAGTTACAATGGAGAAAAACATGGAAGACTAATCTTAAAATATTTATTTTTCTTGGCAGTTTGGACTATAGTGTCAAATCACTTTTTTAAAAATCAGTGTACCACACCTTTTTTACTTGACCCTTCAAATTATAGTTGAGAATATGTTAGTGTAACCATGGCTTGTCCAACATACGGCCTGCGAGCCTCCATGTAGCCTGCCAAGCCATTTTCTGAGGCCCAAGGTGCTGCAATGGGAAACAAAAGTAAACACGGTTTACTTTCATTCCCACCCCTTGTCCCTCCCCCAGCCCCTCAGCAGCTTCCTAATGGCTGCTGAAGGGCGGGGGGAGGGACAAGGTTCCCACATGCAGCCCGCAGCGAGCAGTGCCCCACAGCAGGGACCAGGCACACACACGCTCCCTGGTGCCCAGACAACTTGCCAGGCATCCTTGAAAGCAGGCAGAGGTGGCGGCGCGGGGCCGGGGCTCAGCAGCAGAGTGGCGTGGGGCAGAGGCAGGAGCAGGGGGCATTGCAGGCACATGCGGCCGCCGGGGCAGTGAGTCGGGCAGTGGCAGAGCAGAGGGCACCTTTCCCGCACATCCCAGGGAGGCTGCGGCTGGGAGGACAAGTAGGAGCCCGGACTGGGGCTCCCACGCATGGCAGCGGCTCTCCCCACCCTGCTCCGCTCCGTACCCAGTTGAGCCGCAAGTCTCGCTCGCAGCCTCTCCGATGCACTGAGGAGGCCCCAGCAGCCTCTCGGATGCACTGAGGAGCCCCCACTCCCTCCTCCCTCCCCGCCCACCCCCTGCAAGGCAGCGAGTGGCGGAGGCTGCAAAGCGCTGCGCAGGTGTCTCCTGCTGAGACACATCCCTCTACCTTTGATTAGTTTCCACTCTGGCTGCTATCTTTTCCACATTTGATCTGTCAACTTGCATTATGATTCCTTTCATTATGCATTATGCGAAAGTGTTTATTTTAGTCAAGTGTTTGGTATTATTTCATTGTTGCTTTTATATTCTTTTTATTTTAGATTTTAAATCACATTTCCAGGCCCATTTTATTGTCACTTCCTGCAACTTCATTGGTGTCAAATGTCATGTGACATCACTTCCTGATGTGATACCGCTTCCTGTGAAGTCTTTGAATATGGCTCACCGGCCCACTGGGTGATAAAAAGTTCATGATCTGGCCCCACATTCAAAAAGGTGCAACCCTTCTGCTGAGCACCTGTCAGCAGCTACAAGGGCTGGGTTCAATTTTGGGGTACTAAATATATTTTACCAGGAGGCTTGAGTCCCCACCCAGACTACCTGGGAAACACTAAATGAATCACTAGGGTGTCCAATAAAACCAGCAACTCTTCCCTCACGAGCACTGTAAATGCTAAATCGAAGTTTATTATAAAGTGTAAAGAAAAAGCTAAATTAAACACTAACTATAATTTTAAAGCACTATAAACTACAAAACAAAGTCTATAGGTGGCACCCTCTTGAGGAGGCTTTACCCATACCCAGGCAGTCTGGGACTTGGGGCTCCCAGTTCTGGGGGCCTGTACTCCTATACCTGTCCTTCAGCAATGGGCTGGAGAGAGGGGGCTGCAACAGAGATTCCTTTGAGCTGCTTCATGGGTTTACTGCACTGTAGGGAGCTGCTAGAGAGCATAGGTCCTTATGCATTGCATAAGCTCCCTGTGAAGCTATAGTACTGATCTCCACTGCCATGTGGTTGCTTTGAGGGCTTAACTGCAGCTTTTGTCATCATACCACACCCCCAAAGTTTCTAGTCCTAATCCCAGCTCTGCTGTGGTAGGAACTGCAAGGGCACTCAAAGAAAAGCCAGTCAAACAGAAAAAGAGTCTGAACTGCACCCCTAACCAACCATGCTGCTTGGTCATGACACAGACCTACAAAAGCAACAACATGTGCCAGGCCCAAAATGTGCCAGGCCCAAGCCAGGCCCAAACATGCAGCAAATGTACAGCAGGGCTCAGCAATACAGCTATGCACAACAGCTATAACATAATAAAAGGGGGACTCAGGCCTATCTGCCATCAGGGCTTGACCATGCAACAAAAGAGCACCAGGATTGCAGCCTGGACATTTAGACTCAGCTACCCTGCTATGCTAACACCCAACAGCTATGGAACAACAAAAGGGGGGCCATTCCCACCTTGGCTTGGGCCTGAACTACAACTAGCGCCCAACCACACCACTTGGTTGGGGCAGAAACTGCAAAAGGGACAAAAGAAGGCCCAGGCCTATTTTGCTGGGCCTGGACTGGGCAGCAAAAAGCTGGCCAGGGCTATACACTGATAAACAAGTGCCAGGGCTTCACCCGGGCCCAAATCTGCCAGCCGAACGTATGACTGGGGCTCCGCCCTACACAGGTGGGCTGAAGTGCAACAGCTGTGAAACAGCAAAAAGGGCCCTGGTTTATGGCTGTAGCCTGGACATTTAGTTTCAACTGTACCGCTATGCTGAGACTCTACAATCCCCAACACAGGAGCCAGTGACTGTCAGGACTCTGTTCCCTGGGCAGTCTGCATTAGGGAATAATACACTCATGGCATCATCCCACTCAAGGCCTGCACAGCCAGTAACTTCTAGGACCCTGTTGCTGGTCAGACTGCACTAGGGCATAATATACTCATGGTACCACCCCACTCAAGGCCTGCATGGCCAAAACTGCCTGGAAGACATGCAGCTGGGGCTCAGTGAAACAGCTATGCTGAACCCAAAAGAAATTGCAACAGCAACTAGAACATGCCAGGCTCTCAGTCCTGGCCCAGAGCATACCAGCAAAATTGCCAGGCTCCAGCCTTCACTAGTTTGCTGCAGGGATTGATTCCTTCCACCCCGCCCCACCCCCCCAAGCATCATCCCACTCAAAACTGAGAAGAAACAGAAGGGGAGAGAACAGGGGTCTCAAGCCCCGACAGACTTTTTTCCCCCTGTACCTGAGGCTCTCCCTTCACATAGCTTCAGTTTACTTCTCCAGTGAAAGGGGGTGGGTGGGGAAAGAGACCCCCCACCATTGGGAGCAGGCTTTCTGGCTCCCGATTCAGCTTTCATGCTTTTGTATCCTCAGGAGAGGGGAAAAAAAAGAGAGAGAGAGAGAGAGAGAGAGACCCAGCCCAGGTGGCCTGAACCTTTAATAACTTTCCTGACATCACTACAGGGTCCCAGTCAGAAGCAGCATCGTTTGACCACTGCCAGTCAATTCAAAATGGGCAGTATCACCAAACTGATTCCACAGATCCCTTGAAGGGAAACTTAAGACAATGGCCTGGACACAATGAGGGGGAGGGGATATGATCCTCTTCCAGTCCCAGAAAAGGCACAATATATAGCACAAACACAATTCACAGCGATGTGAAACCAGAACACACCCCACTACACACAACCCCAAGTGTGTGTGGGTGTTACATTAGTTTGTTATCTTATCCCAATGAACACATCTTGCTATTTTTAATGTGGACATTGGGAAGAAGGAAAGGAATGCAGCAATATGGGGTCTGCATTCATTTCTAACTACCCACCCACAAATGATAGTGCACAGCCTTAGCTACTCTTCTGGAAATGTTACTGGCTCGACAAGGTGCAGAGCCTGTAGAAAGTAACAGTAGCAACAGACCATGTATTCTTGTTTGAGTTTTGTATTAGGTTCAATATAAGGACTCCTGTTCTTACAGTACCTGTTGAAAGTGGCCTGAGAACAATAATTGAAGGAGATAGGGGCAAGGCTTTTTAACTCTTTCAAAATGCTATCTTCTTCTCTATAACCTACCTTATCCCCATCAGCATAATATTAAATATACTATTTAATATAATGTTCATGCTCCTGAAGAACTCATGCATGTTGACTCACTCACAGAACAAAGTATTGTTACTGGAATTGAAACATTACCACAGTAGGAGAATTTTTTCATGGAGTTTGCTATGGATTTCTCTGGGCTGACTTCAGCATTTTTTAAATGAGCTATATAGTATCCAGTGCTGAAAGAACATTTTCAATTTCAAGAAATAATACTTGGTTGCTAGAAAGAACATAGTCAATTTTTTTTGGAAGTCACACATTAAATGTGAAGAATAGTTGGGTGTGTCTTGAATTATTATATTTGACTTAATAGGTGGTTATGTATATATGAGACTATTTTGTTACTACTGCTAAGTTGATCAAGAAATATTTTATCTAAACCTCTGGTGTGCTTTATATAACCCTGTGATTCACGTGTAACTGGTACTGTTCTTTGTTTTAATTGTAGCATCATTCAGAAACTCCAAGCCCATCCATTTTACCCCCATCTGCCTTACCGCTGGATTTACTAAACAATGCCGTTGCTGGATTTAGTACCGTAGAAGAACTCATCCGATATCTTGAACCAGATAGATGGCAGCTGGATTTGGAAGACCTATACAGACCAACATGGCAGCTTCTTGGAAAGGCATATATTCAGGGAAGAAAATCCAGAGGTAAATCACCCTTCTACAACTATTGTTCTTGCAGCTCTGTGTAGATGACTCTTTCCTTGTTGACAAAATCACTTTGAGCAACCTAGGCAACAGCTTATGAATAAGGCATTGAGAATGATAACATTTTGATGAAGTTTGTCAAGTTCAAATATTCTTGCATTTTTGTTGTTATCTGGATGAAGGAAAGAAACTGCAAATGTCCCCACCCAAACACATGATATCTTTGTGTCCCTGTGTAACATACAGGGGGTAAAGGTATTTTAAGCTTTGACTTGGTCAATGCCAGGGCAATTTTATGTGCAAAAGCAAAATGAGTTTAGGAGACCCTTACTCCAGGCTCAAGTGCTTTAAAAAAATTGAAGTTTCCAAATACAGAACTCAGACTGAAGTTCCTCTTCTTCAGAACAAGGAAGAGGCTTTGATAGAGCTCTTATCTCATAGGAACCACTGCTCCTAAACCTGTCTCTTTGATCTGCTTGTCATTTGGCATGTTTGATTATGGTGCAGAGTGTCTTTTGTATCTCTTTCTGAGCCACCATTTAGTATTTTTACATTATTTCTCTCTCAGTTACTCTTTAACTGAGAGAATGAAGTAGCTTATGATGAAAGGGACTGTAACACTGAATATCTTTACTCTGAGTGTGATTATGCTGAATTCCCAGATGAAATGAAGAGAGGCATGTGTTGATCAGGGGATGCGAGTTTCAGGGGGAATAGGAAAAGTTCTTATATATTCTAAATGTGTGTGGCAGATTAGGGAATTTATCCTCAAGAGGCTGAATTTATGACCAGAAGCAAAGATTCCTGACAACCTTCCAATAGCACTGAAGCAGATACGAACTTGGCAGGTTGAGGGCATGGTACAGAGGTTTACTTCTCTGACTGACAAAGGAATGCTTTAGAATTGCATTTCCTGTACTGGTTATGGCAAGCCTGAATGAAGATCATAAAATTATTGCCCGACTATTCAAAGTATTTTCAAATTCGTTATTCACTTTCATAACACTACTAATGCTGAGTATATACATAGAATGCTAACTTTGACATTGTAACTATAGAGAATGGTTATATCCTCATATGGTTATACAGCATACAATCTGTATCTTGGAGGTACTAGCCTATATATACAGAAGGCAAGGAGAAAGCATATATTGGGAATATGTTTCTGCCTAATGTTTTGGATGACTTCTCTCCGTCTCCAAGTACAAGCAGCATGCATATAACTGGAGAATGTATTTAGACAGAGAAATCTCTTTTGCAACAAGCACACAAGGACTAGTTAAAAAACTGATCCATACTGTTTTCCAACTAAAGCCTGATGTGGCTGCTCACAAACTGCATGCTGGAGAACTCAGTAGTAGCTTGTACTTCTCTAATGTGCCCTGGCCTTTAAGGCCTCTACCAAACATTCAGGTAAAGGTGCGATAGGATCTGATGTGTGATCCAGATAGTCGCACTTCCAGATATGGCACACAGGAAGCGTGATTGTGGGATGGAGCATCAGAGCCCATCTTGCCTTATTGCAGGTGCAAAGGGAGCCCAGGATCAAATCATGATCCAGACTCCCCCTGCACCACCAAGTAGCAAGCTTACTGTATACTCCTATGGCTGTGAACTCCATCAACTTATCTCACTTCCAGCAGCAGGAGCATGTGCTATGCCCCTGTAGCTAGGAGTCCCATCAGCTGTGGGCTCCCAGCCTTGGGGGTGCATAGTGTGCCCTTGGAGCTGGGAGCCTGGATCAGCTGACAGGACTTCCAGTCAGGGGAGCACATGGTGCACCCCCACAGCAGGGAGCCCCATCAGCTGACAGGGCTTCCAACCATAGGGGTATATCTGGCCACACATTCAATTTATGGTATGATAGAAACCAGCCACAAAGTTATTCCACATGTTGTGCAGAACTTTCTCGCTTAGTCCTTGTTTTATGATGCCATTAATTGCTTAAATTGTAACCTGGTCACATGTTAAAGACATGATTAACTGGTTAATCACATCTTAAGTATAAACTTGTGGCAGAGGGCTAATGATTCTTAATTTTCTTCTGTGATTGTACAGGTCCATTCTTACCAAATGGCACAATCTAGCATTAGTATATTCGTATATAATTGATAGTTCTCAGTGCACAAATAGTGCAAGTTTATTTTTGGTTAATGTGGTTAGTTCATGATCATCTGGATCACATCTTCAGAGCATGCAGTGAATTTTATGATATCAGAAGCTAGTTAGAGCAGATTATGTCAATATTCCTCTTCCAGGCTATCCCATGAAACAATTATGCCCATGTCTATGAACATGCTAAGATGGGCAGAGCTATCTGATGGTAAAATAAATCAAAAGACGACATGTTCTTCTTACATGTGACATTTGCGCATTTTCAGTCAAATCTCCTCCAGATGCTGCCCATTATTTCACATTTATGGATTCCCTGGGTGCATCTACACATGTGCTTTAATGTGCAGTGGCCTATTTTATGGGGCAAAAAGCATCATGTAAAAAATCATGCTATTATTCTAATGGGCAGTAAAATAGGCTGCACATTAAGTGTCACTTAAAAACCATGCGCATTTGTTACTGTGCATCAGGGCAGCCTAATGTGCATTTCTTCACATTGGAGGTACTAAATTTACTGCACATTAGAAAAAGCACCTTACTGCATATGTAGACACAGCAGTGTTAAATAGCACTGAATCTTGTTGAATAGCATCCAGACAATATTCCCTCCTCTGCCACCACATAGCGTGAAAATGAAGATATATGTCAGTGTAACTGAAATATTATAGAATATTATAGTGAATAGAATCCTATACTGGAAAACGTAAACTAGATTATCATTCAATCAGCAAGGAAGGGGAGGAGGTGAAACCTTTTCATAACTCAGATTTAGTTCTTTGACAGCTGATCCCTGGATCAGAGCCTAAAAATCTACCCTTCTAGCCATGCCTTTATTGCTATAGCTATGCACACACTAGCTAAGTCAAGACCTGGACAGGAGATACTTTGTCTTTAAAAGCTTTTAGCTATGAGCCCTATCTTTCAAATTTCATTTAGCACTTTCCTAATTAAAGAGTTTCACCATTTGCCAAATGCATTACCATTTTAAGCATACAGTAAGTGGGGGGAAAGCAATGTATATTTGTGGAACCTTACATAAACTGAAATGCAGGTGTTGGATAACATCTATATAGACAAAAGCAACTCCCTTCGAGACAGAGATCTTCCAAAGAAACTATCAGAGTAAATCTTTAAAGACTTCTAATTAGACACTGAAATAGATTTTCCACTGAATAAACATATCAAGAGTATTGCCACATTCATCTTAAAAAGGACCACCCTCAGACTGCATTACTGAGTGTGTAATGTAATAGCCTACGGCAGAAAATGTGTCCCATTGAGATTACTCAGTATAAATGTTAGGCACAGTGAATATCAAGAAAACCTAAACTACTTTTTGTTGTTGTTGTTGAGGTAGAATATTCTATTAAATTAAAAATCTATTGTAAGGAACAATATAGAAAAATCCCTAAAATGCTTATTAGTTAACTAAAATATGTTACATACTTCAGCTTTTTTAATAGGTCCAATCATCTTTTGGTTTTTTTGTTTTTTCATTTTAATTTAGAAGCCAAACTTATGTTTTTGGATTTAGGACAAAATTGTAGTCTCGGTTAAATTAATATAAATCTGGAGCAACTCTGTTTAAAGCAATGGAATGGTTCTATATAGATAAGTACAAAATGCAGTCCTCTATTCCTGAACTTTTGATTATGTACATGAAAAAATAAACATTGCATTGCAATTCCAATAAATGACCCCAAATCATTCAAATAGCATAAAGGGACCATAAGTGACCAGCAGGACTTAACATAAGGTAATCCTTTGTACATCTAGGAAGCTGCCAGACCCAATGCTTTTACTTCTTGTTCTTCTTTGTGCAAAGGACAGGAGAAGCCTGGCTGGAACTACATTATGCCAATCCTTTATTGTTATGGAGTATGCTGTGTGTATGGGAGCATCTCTAGATAATATGGTCCCTGGAAATCACAGCTGCCTCAATTACATAACCCCCTCCCAAACCCATCCTCCTAGTACCAAGTCAGGAGATAATCTGACTCGATAACTCTGTCAACAGCAGAAAGCAGTTGGGGAAAAGTTCTGCATGACAGACCTCTGTGTGGCGAAGTGGGTTTCACTCAGGCTAGCTGTCACTGGCCTCCCACCTGCCTCGGGGCACGCTGCCCACCTGTCTCGCCCGCCATGCCTTGTTGGAAGTTAATAAGTTGTTAAATAAAGTGGGAGGCTGCCCATTTTCTTTGCACCCCAATATTGGGGGGAGGGGGTGTCCGTGGCTCCGTACCACCCCTACACCGCAGACCAAGCCTCGCAAATGGCATCTCACGCATTTGGTTGGACTCTCGCCTTCACCCTATTACCTGTGGCCCCCAACCATGGGGACCTTCAGCTTACATAAGCCCTGGCCTGGTCTTAGGCCCAGTCAGGACCCTGAGCTCCCTCACTCATTATGGGCAACCCTCGTGGGGCGGCCCTGGCCCTTTGACACTTAGGTCCTGGCCCCAGCATGGACCAGTTGAGTCCCTCGGTGGGGTCTTCCCCTCCTGCCTGCATTATTGGGGGTTCCCCTTATCCCCAGCTCAGGTGCTCCAGGGAGTGTGCCTGGCCCTCTGGGGTCTCTCCCCTACTGGCTCAGGTGCTTCCCCAGAGCTTACCTGGCCTCTACTCCTTCCTTTGATCTTATAAAGCACACACCATGACTGGTGTTCCAGTGTCTCACGGGGCCTCTCACTCCCCCCCTAGAGCAGCAGGTCATTGTGCTCAGCCTTAGATATTACTTCTACCCACCAGAAGGTGAGGGCTGGGGTTAAGGCACCCCTACTCACCTTTCACCAGGGTGGTAACTGGCCTGGCATTTCCTGGGGGCTCACAGGCCACTGAGAGCCCTACTAGGCCACCCACTTCCAGCAGAGTGCAGCTTTAGGTCG